AATGGCTGGGGGAAAGGATGAGGTACTTAAGCACAACGTGGGTAGGTAGGGAACAAATGGTGTGGATGTCGAGGGTCGTACATGAGGGCACCACCACCGGGGTCTTGGGCGATCGCCTTGTTGTCACTAGCGAACCCAAGGCCCAGCGACCCTAGGTGCCTTCCCGGGTTTCGATGTCGGTGCACTCTTGCATTCCATCGCAGTATGTTTTGCTGGGAGCTCCAAAACACGTGACCTGATCGACACAGTGAGACTTGCCCATGCTATAATCAATTATTGGGTCCGCTACTGCTTGTTGTCGATGAGCATGGTGTCACGTGTCTCTGCTTTACTCACCTCATGATGAACCCATGCCATGGTGATCAAGAGATAAGGGTACGTATGGTTCTGCAAGTTTTTAGCAAAGGGGTCCAATACCGTAGTGGCAGTTTGGTCTGTTTTGGTTTTGTGGGCTGTCGGGCTAAGAGGGTTCACACCAAACCCGTGAAACAAGTCTATTCAGTGGTCGGAGAGGGGTGTTGTCTTGATAGGATCATCTTCCTATTTCGGTTCTCTCATCCAAAGAATTCTTTCGTATTTCTTTGCCCTAGTAGTTGAATGAATAACAGAGTTGAGTTTGAGTTTAAAATTTTGTGAGGTGGCAATGTCCCTTGTAACTTATATTAGAAGAAATACATTATCAATTTTACTGGATGCCATGACATACAAAAAATAATAATGAAAAATCATATTGTATTTTCTAACATAAGTCATGGTGCTAGCCATTATCACACAAAATTAGAACTTGAGAAAAATATAAAAGCAAATCTTAATAGGGGGTTGATAAGTAGATTGGACAAAGTAAAATAGTTGAGACTAAATTGAACACATAATTAGTTTAGGATGGTATCGATACAGGTCCTGTTCGCTTATGTTGAAATTTGGCTTATACTGATGCTTATGCTGAAATGTTGTGAGAAGAAAACACTGTTCCATGGCTGAAAATAGCTCAAGCGAACAGGGCGCCAGAGTCTATATGTGGGGTGTGATGTTGACGTTTTTCCTGAAAAAACCTCTCTTTTGAGTTATATGTCGGTACTATCTCCAGCCTTGAAATGATGAAATTGTGAGTTTGGTCGAAGTCAAAATAACTTATGGTCAACTGAGTTTATGAAAAATCGTATCAGTATTTAAGCCTCCAAGTAGGTATGTTTTAAAAACATTTCATGATAAATGTAATAATACTTGTTCTTAATTTTGGCTAAGTTTATATAAAACATTGTTAATATTTATGACTCTAAATAGGTATACTATAAAAATAAATTCTATAATTAATCTAATAATACTTATTTGGTATTGTAAATGTTAGTATTTTTAAAGATATTTGACTTATCGAAGAACAAGAATTATATATTTTAAGAACGAAGGGAATATACACAGTCCACTTTCCCTTTGAGAAGAAAGACGCGGAGGTACGAACCTGAGACACCGAGGAAGAAGTCAAGATCCAAATCGAGTGGACCGAGGTGAAATCAGAGTGCAGAGATGTGCAGACAAAAAATTACATTTCGGGCACGAGATAGATTTCTAATTTCATGAAACCGAACAAAATTTTTAATCTCAGATACAGGTGCAAGTAAATCCATCAGTAGACTTGCAAAGCACTGATGTAGTCATGTATGTAAAAGTTATGTACAGGTATGAACAAAGTTAGGGCAATATATAGGTGTAAAGATTTTTTTCTGTGGAGACATGTATATTGTGAGAAATTGATCATAATCACTATTTTTTACCCCCTCCGTCCCTAAATAACTGTTATTCTCGCTTCCCGAGAAATAACTTCGGCTAATTTTATAGAACAATACTTACGATATATAATTAATATCATTAGATAGATCGTTGAATCTATTTTTGTAATAAATTTATTTGGAGATATAAATATTGCACGTATTTTTTATAAATATAGTCAAACTTTCGACACGGAAAAAAAAATGACAGAGTAGGTGCCTATGCCCCTATCGTCTACCGTAGATCCGCCCCTGCATACAGGTGTATTTCTCGTCGGTTGAGCCGTTGAAGTGACATGTCCTTCGTTGAAAAACATACAGTGAGGTTCACGTTGGAAGTGAAACTAAGCTACTAACATTACTGTACAGTGCTAGCTAGCTAATTACCCCTTGGCTTTCACGGTTTTAATTTACACCTATCAACAACAACCAGTACCTGCGTACACTCCTACGAGCAGCGTAGTGCAGTGCAGGAGTGGATATACAGGCGACGAACGAAACGAGAAGAGAACGAACAAGGCGATAGAATTGAATGCGATGGTCGCGTCGCGATCGGCGATCCCTCGCCTTCTTGTCAAATTGCTGTCGGCGGCCGGCCGGCAGTGGCGCGAACGCTTGCATGTGGGTGGCGTGGCCGGCCGGCCGTCCCCCGCCCTCGGCTACTTACGAACTGTCGGTCCTGTCCATCAACCCCGGCCGGCCACTGATCTGTCGCGCCATCGCCGCCTGCAGCTATGGAGTACTACGCCTACTGTACATGGTAAACCAGCGCCGTCCACTGTGCAGACTCGGTTGCATTTCATTGGAACTGTACCAAGGATTGTTCAACTGTCGCATGCAATGTGCATGGTGTGGTAGTACGGTACCGCTTCTTGAAGAAAATGAAACTCCAAACATAAGACTGCGTCCAGAGGTGGTTCTCAAGCATAATACTTCGCGTTTGAACTACTACCTTGATTCCCACATTGATTGGATCCAATGAAGTTTTCTCTCAACCAACAAAACAATTAGCGGATCAATGGAATTTCAGTTGAGGAACGAGAATATTTCACTGTCTACAAAACATGGAGGTTTAATTGTATGGATAACTTGAGCTCGTGAATTGTGATTAAGTACTTTGAAATGAACCAAATAACTCACGAGTATACATACAGCTAGTAAAATATACAAAGATCATATATATACTTCACAAAGCATAATAACCACTTAACCAGCACCACCTCATGAAGATAAACAAGAAATTTCAAACGTGAAGCATGCAGCTATTGATGTTCACAGGAAACCTACCTCAGCTTCATTGGAAAAGCTCACAAACCTTGTCTGGTTATATTCAACAAAGATGCTTCCAGCATTTAGAAACATTCAAAAGTTATTTACATCTAACTCTAGGGCCTGGCAGGCAGGTATCTTCAGAAACATATGTCAGAACACCCCAGTTCCCTTTTCCATGTGTTCACCCCTTTACCTACTTACGGAGGAACCACAGGGAAGAAACATCCTTGGTTTGTAAATTTGAGGTGAATAATTGGTAGGCAAAGTGAAGCAGTGACATGCTATAGAATGAGGTGATAAAATACAGCAATATTGTGAGTACAAGCACTCGATCACTCCTAAAGCATATAGTGCATCAAAGAATACAATTTGTCATCTTATCACAAAAGGAATTAAAAGCACTGCTAGGTAACTGAAAGAGGATAATACATCAAACTTCAGTACTATTATATCTAGATGCATAGCAAAATAGATGTACCAAAAAAATCAAAGCGACTTATAATTTAGAACGGAGAGAGTATAAACCCAACAGTAATATGACAACTAATTACGTATTGCAGCCACCATACAAATCCTGAAATCCATGTTACAAGAATTTTATCGAACACCTTGGGGGCAATGAAGGCTAAGGAATGAAAGCAATAGCCCATCTAATTTATGCAGCAAATTTCAGTAGTCGAGATCAAGAGCTTGAAGAAAAGTCAAACGTAATATCCCACACAGGAAGTGGCACCACCACACCATGATGAAGGAAAGAAAAAAAAAACACTGATCTGCTTCTATACGACAATGTCTGAATTGAAAAGAGTACCACTAATCTACTATCCAGTACTACACACATTCACAACCAACTCTGCTTATAATTAACAGGATGCTAACAGATGAGTACTAATCAAATCGATGGCGCGAGGGGTTCATAAAGGAAATTACCCCATGGAGCCATGTACGCATGTGCTGCCAAGTGCCATGGCATGCAAAAAAATTGACAAAACAAAACTAAACCAATTGTGGAACAAAATTTGATATACCAAAAATTGTTCACCGATCTGAGCGTACATGGGTAGAAACATTGAAGGGAGGGGATACCTCAGGGAGGGTTCTGCTTTCCAGGGAGGTGATGTTCTAGGGGCAAGGAGAGCAAGGTGCTGTTGAGATGAGAGGGGAAATGGCAGCAGCCTCAATCAGATTCAGTCGCCGCCTCTCCCATCAGCAAAGGAGCTGACTTGTGGGAGCGCATGCTGCGGAAGGGCAATGCCAGCAAAACATTTAGATCCTATTGCAAGCCATCAATTTCCATTCTGAAATGGGCATCAGCGTTGTAGTGCCATCGTCGAGGCTCGAGACAGAGAAGCCAAGCGCTGCGGCAGCAGCGCACTCAACGGCAGAGGGGACAGGGTCGAAGAGGTCCGCGGATGCGGCCTCCGGGAGGTCGCGGCGGAAGAGGGCAGCAAGCTGGAGGTGCTGGCAGGAGAGTAGGCATTTGGGCGATGCAATTGCTTAGGGGTGGGGATGATGGAGGGCAGACAGCGTAGTTTTTAATCCACACATCATGCGGAGGGGGGAATCCCACGGGCGGCTTCACCACGCGCGGCGATAGAAGGGTCCTAGTCAGTCTGTATAGATAGTTGTATAGATACAAGAGATAGAGACAGAGATTTGGTAGGTGCCGCAGAGCAAGCTTCCAAATACTAGGAATGAAGACTGGTCTGACGTCTTAATTTAATTTGAGTGAGGCATGGACACACACACACTGGACAGGCATAGGCCATACATAATCAGAGAATTTCCAGACAATAATGGCAATTGAACAGCTGGATTTAACAGATTGTAAGGTAGCTTTCATATTAGCAGTGTTGGCAATTGAACAGCTGGATTCAACAGATTGTAAGGTAGCAGTCATTGCATTCTAATAGCAACGCAAAATCACAATTGCACTTGACTTACCTTAACAAAACACTAAATCTACTTGCCTTTCCAATATACTATACCAGGTACAGGTACATGTATCCCACAGGTGAAGCTCATCCCAGCAAGAGTGCTACAATCAACAGACCAAAATAGAGGCACCACCAACAAATGAACCAAACTTCATCTAGCCATTACCTAGATGCCAAAGACGCTATATAATCTTCAGCTTCATGGAGGTCCTTCCTCCTCTGAGCAATTATTGTTCCCATGAACCCTTTATGTTCAGCCATGGAATCAACAAGCTCCCGCAGCACATTAGCAACAGCCTGAGTTTCTTTATCAGCTTTGAGTCTTGCATCTTGGTGCCTCTTCTCCGATATCTATCAAATCAAATTCCGTTTATCTGATTCCAATGTGCTAGACTAATAAAGGAATGTGTTCTATTAACAAAACAAAAGGTAAGAAGTACCTTCAAAAAAATCATCAGCCTGCAATTCAACAGAAATCAAACTATTCTTCTTTTTCTCCAACTCATCATTCATTTGTCTAGCCTCAGATGTGAATCTTGAGTCACCATTTGTCATTTCACGATCCAGCAAATTCAAACGAGCAACCATCTAGATAACAAGCAGATACAAGAGGTTCAACTTTATTATTTTGCAATAATTATTCTATAAAAGAGTCCAGGTTAACTTGAGCTGTATGGTAAAAGACAGGCCAAGCACTTTGCATATCGATAATTGTTTAAGACTTTAGAATCACCATGAAAAGCGAGTGGGGTAAGATAGCCCCCAAGTCTAATCACAACACATCAGTATAATTGAAGACATAAATCCAAAATCCAATTTACATTGACAGCACAAATGAATTTTCACAAGTCGAAGCCATTATTCGTGCTTACTTCACCATGTAAACAAAATTTTTAAAAATTGGGAACTTTAGCATTCCCTGATGATGTTTTTAATAGTCTGGTCAATAACCATTAACCATATACAGAAAATTGTAGCGCAGGTCTTTCCAATAGTGTGATACGTTCTATCATTTGCCCAATACTGCAAAGTAATTTCAGAATAAGCATAACAAATAAAAGAGGAAGGACACCATAATTTCATATCACATTTACTCTATAGGCTATAAATGTAATGTAGTGCTTGAAAGGATGAACTGACATTATCATTTGTTGCCTGTAGACTGGAAATATTATTCCTTTCCTCCTCTAGGACTTTAACATTTCCTTGCATCTGCTTCTGTAGATCATTTACTTCTTCAAGATTTGAGAGACGGATCCTTTTGTTCTCGTCAGCGTGAGCCACCAGTCCTTGTTTCAGTACTGTTTTGTAAGTACCTAGCATCTCAGCAGGAGAAGATCCTTTTGCATGTATCATGTACTGAATATCAATACCAGATTTCAACCTGAAAAGTAGCCCACAAGTGTAAAAATGAGGACGTAATACAAACCAAACTAACAAAAGGAGCTAGTAGAGCAAATACAAACAACAGAACCACAGTTAAAAAAAATAACATTTTAACCCTGTTTGTTTTATTGTTTAGGAAACACAAAAACAGCAAACAAAATGATGCCAGCTGGCTATTCAAAAGCCCCAAATTTTAGTTAAATGTTTTTTCCCTGAAAATTTCTTGGAAACTAATCACTGGACTTCAAAATCAGTGATTCAATAAGTTTCAGTGTAAAAAATACAGGATTAATTGTTTGGCTCATATTCCACCTAGTTCAATTTGTTTGTCCGGCAAAATCTCCTATCTCCTATACCTAAATAAGAGACCCCCACTACAGGATTTACCTGGCTTCTCATGTATCCACGTCATCATCATATTCATGCATGCAGAGCTTATTTGTCAATGGAAAAAAATTGCATTTGCCCAACCTTTGCCGCTTCACCTTTCCGGCGTGCACATGCAAATGTGCAATTTTTCCGTTTCACCTTTCTCGCGTGCAAATGCATATGTGCAATGAAATACCATATCAATTCTTTATCCTGAAACGGCTTCCCACTAAGCCTCATTCATTACTTACTAGTCAATAATAAAGGAGCAGCAGAAGCCAAGGAGACTGCATTTAACTCTACCTTTGAAACTGATGTAAAAACCCCACCATCTCCACCCTGTGCTACTCTTATAAAACTACGAGCAAGCATGGTTCAACCATGCACCTGACACAACCAGGCAACCATTCACAGCAGCCCGTCGATTGATACACCTCCATCACCGGAGCTATTGCCTACACAACCCAAGTTCTTTGCATCTTCTACTAATCCATAACCTCGGCTTCCTCACAAAAAAAAATTACTGCACTAAAATATTTATGTTCCCAGAACCCTGCTAATTAATCAGCTTATCCATTTGGTCCTACAGGGAGGATCGAAGGACAGGATCAAAGGAGGAATGCCCTGATCGTAGATTTGTACGATTTTAGGAGTAACACATACTTCATTCCTTTCAGATCGAGGTGTAAAACATTTAATCTGTAATCGGTTTTATGGTTCTTTTTGCACAGAATACTTAATCTAATTGACTTAAAAGTTCCCGTGGCAACGCACGGGTTATTCTCTAGTTATCCTATATACTAATGTCCATGTCCAGTCCACATTATTCAATTTGTTGAGGTATTGAGGATCAGGAACGTTCATACCTTTTGTGGGCCTGGTTGCACTGCTCAGCAAGCCTCTCAAGGTCCTCAAGCTTGGTAACCAACTTGGTTTCGAGTTCCCAGTCCTTTTCCTCCAGTGCCGATGTCCCCTTCTCGGCGCTGGCAGTGTCATCTTCAACCACCTTCATCTCCCTGTGCATCCTCTTAACATCACTCACATTGAGGGGCTGAGCACCGACTTGTCCCAACAGATCCCGATTTTCAGCAGTAGTGGCCTTGACGTCGGACACTTTTGCCTCCAACTCCTTCTCCAAATCCCCAAGCGCCTGTTCACTTTCGTTGAGCTTAGTTTTCCAGGTCTCTGCCACTGCCTCCACTTTTTTGAGCATTGACAATGATGACCTCCTTCTCTGATTCCAATGCTTGCCGCCGCGAGGGGCCCGAGGTGAGCTTATTCACCTCGGTCTCGAGTTCCTGGACCTCCTTCTCCAGGGCACGAACTGTTGCAGCGGATCCTTCCCCAGCCATCTGGGCGTACTCCTTGTCGAGGGCCGCGACGGCGGCGGCGTCCATCGACATGAAGCTGCAGTAGGCCTGGGTGCTGTAGAGTAAGAAGGAGGTGCCGCTCGGGCGGAACAGGCTTCCGCCGGACCGTCGTCTCCTAGGGAGGAGGAGGAGGAGACGAAGAGGGTGAGCCAGTGGAGTACGGAGAGCAGCGTCGGCCACGAGTGCGGGGTAACGGGGGGCCTGAGCGCGGCGTGGGTGACCTTGTAGGGGCACCCGAGCTCGCCGAGGTCCTCGATGAGGTCGTCCTCGAACGTGGCGTCGTTGGGGGGCAGGTGGAGGCGGTCGAGGAGGAGGCGGAGCGCCGCCTGAATGTCGCGCGTGGCGGGCAGCGGCCCGCGGAGCGTGACGGCGGGGGCGAGGAAGCCGTTGACGACGCGGAGCGCGGCGGCCTGCGTGGCGCGGTCGGAGAAGTTGGGGTTGTCATCTTGTCTCCGTGAGCGAGGGAACCGGAAGACGCCGTTCCGTCCGCATAAACGGATCGGGGCTTCTTCTTCCTCCTCCTCGGGGCATCGCCGCCACCACGCCAGCTCGGGAGATTTAACTTTTTACTGACAGCATCTCAACAGTCGCCGCTACATTTTCATCATCAAAACGAAAAACAGATACAAAAATGTCACTTTTGCTCATGTGGCACGCCAGCCCTCACGTCAGCAGGGATCCAAGTCAGTATACGGGCGTCAAATGTCTCTCCTGCCCCTGCTCTCTCCTTCTCGTCGCACAGCGTGGCTCCCTCTCTCCCTCGTCGCACGGCACGGCTCTCTCCCTCCACTCTCCCTCTCTCTCGTAGCTTAGCGGTGCTACCCTCCCTGCGGTGCGCCCTCTCCCCTCCCTCCACTCTCTCTCCCTCCCTCCCTTGTCAACACTCGCGCTCGAGCAGCAGGCAGCTCCACGGTCCTCCCCTCGGGCGCGCGCTACACCTCCCCTCCCGACGGCGATCCTCCCTCCCTCTCCCTCAAGCGCACCTCCAACGACGTGGCGAGGAGCTCCTCCGCCTCCTCCTCCGGCGGCTGCGTGGTTGTCGTCGGCGGCCTCGGACAGCAGCTGCCGCGACGAGGCCGTCGAGGTCTGCAGTGAGCTGGACGCTAACGATGAAGTCGTGGACGACGAAGCTGGCGAACGACGAGGAGCTCCCGCGCCGCGCGCACGCAGACGTCGGTTGCTGGATTCCGTAACGGAGGCGATCGACGCGGCGATGCTGGAGCGGTTGCACGCGTGCCCGCTGGGCTAGAACCGCGTGTTGGTCGGGGAAGCCGACGCCACGCACGAGGCCATCGAGCTACAGCTCGACGCGACGCCGTCCTCGCCCTCGCCCTCGCCCGTGGTTAGCATCAGGAGGGTGACGGAGCTGGCCATGGAGCTATGCGTGGACGGCCGGGCCGCGTCCGCCGACAGCAGGTTGATTTACGGCGTCGGCGGGACCTCCGACGTCCCTGTAGTGCGCGCGCTCGCGTGCTGCGTGGCCGCGCACCCTAGGCTCGTTCGCAGCGTGCGCGTCACTCGTGGCTCCTTCTACGCGCTCTGGGTCTTGGTCGCAGTCTCACAGACCTCGCCGACCTCCGGAGGCTAGCGTTGCCGGCGAAGGAGGCAAGTCCGAACGTGGCGCGCATGGCGTCGGGCACCCGCCCGAAGAGCTGGTTGTTGCAGGCGTCGTGCCAGGTGCGGGCGTCGTCGCCGTCATAGGGTCAGGGCGCGGGCACCGCCGTCGGGCATGAGCTGCGAGTGCGGGCACCGCCAGGGCACGAGCTGCCGAGGCACGGTGCGAGCACACGCACCGTCGTCGGGCCAGGGCGCGGACAACAGCACGCCACCGCCTGGCCGGAGCACCGCCGCCGCAGGGCATGAGGTGCCGCGCTGCAGGTGCCTAGGGCTACCAGCGTGGCCAACTCTAGGCGCGCGAGTTGCCGTGTCCGCTAGGAGCACGGGGTGAAAATGCCAGCTGCGTGGGTAGAGAGGAAAAGGGCAGGAGGGGAGTTTCACACGCCCTGCTGACTCGAATCCACGCTGGCATGAGGAGTTGGTGTGCCATGTAAGTAAAAGTGGTAAATTTGTAGCTGTGTCTCTCTGTGCTGGCGAACATGTATTGGCATCCGTTAAACTGCTATTTGAGGTGCCCTTTGTTATAATGGTAAAAAGTCAAATCTCCCCCACAGTCTCCACGTCTCTTCATAACTTCGGCTCTAGACCAAAACCCTAGCCAAATAATCCGGGCACGCATAGGCATAGGCTCCCCACCGTAAGGAAACAAGGTGAGATTGGAGATGGACGGGCGGGAAATCCAAGCGCGACACCACCGTGACCGTGACTGGCTCCATCCAACGGCCTATTTGCTCGAGCTTCTAAGTCGTACTTTTTCAGCCAAGGAATATTATTTTCCTCTCACAACAAATCAGTCAATAGTACTTTCAGCCATGGCTTATCAGCCAAACGAACAAGCCAGGTTGCGTTGATTGCTCGGCCTCTCGGCCCAGTATGGAGTGGTTCAAGCGTTGGAATGGCCTTTCTTGTTGCGCAACGTATTGGACCAGGTTTTAGGATACAGATCTACTCGATAACAGAACAGATCGGCATGTACAGGATTAATATTAAGGGAATGGCTAGCGTCCGGACGCTAGCACCCGTCTTGATGCCCGTGCCTACCCTACCACATGCGCAAGCTACAGCACCTACCCCGCCTAATGTGCCTGCTCGCTCGCCTCCCACCCCCCACCCCCCACGCATGTTGCTGCGCCTGCCAAACGTCCGCGCGCTCGTCGGTCGAGCTTGAACTGCCATGGCAAGATGGAGGGAAGGGAAGAGAGGGGAGGGAGAGGAGAGGAGAGGGCGAGGCGCACCACGTGAGAAACGCATGAGGTAGGAGCCGAAGCCCTATGGTAGGTCGCTATCCGCTGGCCACCGACCCCATTGCAGCATGTGCAACGCCTGATCTACTTTTAAAACATTTAGATGAAACATTTGCAACATATGTCTAACACAGATGAAACAATTGAAACATGCATGTATAGCCATTTGCAATATGTGCAACACTAAGATCTACTTTTGAAACATCAAGTTAAAACATTTGCAACATACGTCTAAAACACCTGAAACACTTGAAACATAGGCTTGAAACATGCGTATTTTGTATGCGAATTTTTTCATTGCAACATATGCAACATCCAGATCTACTTTTGCAACATCCAGACGAAATACTTGAAACAAAGGTATGAAACGTATGAAACACTTGAAAACGTATGTAATATCTAGATCTATTTTTACAACATCCAGATGAAACATTTAAAACAAAAGTAAAAAATGCTTGAAACACTGAAACACAGCGTTCGCCACTCGACCACAGCCTACCTGGTGGGGAACTACGATATAGATTGGCGAGGAGGAAAGGGAGCAGATGGAGGCCGCCATGCGCAGAGGCGCTAGAGTGGCAATGGCGAGTCCTGGTCGAGCAGGGAGGCCGAGGAGGGCTGCCGCCTAGAGGGGCCTCACGAGGAGCGCCATCTCCCAGCGCACCCCTCACTGTACTATAGTACTAGTAGTAGGATTGCAGCCTATGGCAGAGAAGATGAAAAAGTAGTTGGCTCTAGCGACGAGCTCGGGGCACGGCGCTGGGGTGGGACGGAGGAAGCGGCAAGGATGAAGAGGTGTCGGCGTGGGCAGCTGCAATGCGCTGTGGTGGGGAGGAGGAAGCCGAAAGGACGGAGGAGGCGCTAGGAGGAGGTGCGCCTTGGTTACTACTTGATTTGTGCAGATGAAGACGAAGAGAGAAGAAGGATTGGTGATTCGTTTTTTAATATATAAGTACAATATATACTACCTGTACTCTCTAGTAGGAGTACTAGCCAAACAACGGGGAGGGAGCGGAATGGACGCGCGCCACTTCTGGAAAGGACGGATGCCCGAATCTGAGCATTTTCATAATAACAAGCTTCGTGTCAGTGTTTTGAGTTGCCACCAACAAGTAAATTTGTAATATTGCGCGTCTGTCCCGGATGATGTGCTAAGAGGACACAAGGTTTATACTGGTTCGGGCAGAATGTCCCTACGTCCAGTTCGTTGCTGCTGCTCGTGTTACTACCACTGAAAGTTCATAGTAGGGGTTACAAATGGTCAAGAGAGGGACGGGTCTCAAGTCTCTGGTGGCGTGTTGTGATGAGTTCCGATCAGTTCAGATTTGAGTTGAGCTCGGATGTGTTCGAATGTGGGATCGATGGTCCGATCTAGTTCTAATGCCCCTTAATGGGACGCCCTGCTTTCCCTTTTATAGGCCAAGGGAAAGCAGGGGTTACAGCGGAGGGAAAAGAGGAGAAATGAGGAGAAGAAGTCCCCCAGAACCGCCGTGTCCCTCTTCTCCTTTATGCGGGTCCCGCCGACCCTATAAACGTCAACAGGGACAGCTTCCCATCGTGGTCCTGTCCGTCACTAGCGCCATGTGCAGGCGTCATCTGCTGGTCATGGCGTACCACTTCATCCTAGCGGACGTCATGGTGAATTGACGCACTTGTCGGTGTTTGTACGAGGGTTAGGCAGAATAGTACTGGTACATCGACACTATTCCTGATGTGAATCCATGGCCCGTCACGACCACGGGTTATATTGGGGCGTGCCAGTCTCTTCCCTAGCGTCAGAGCTTTGACCCAGGCCCGTACGCTTGGACCTAGAGTGGTTAGCGGTGGTATGGGTCTCTGTTGGGTGAGACGGAGCCCCCGGCCTCGAGGTTGGGCGAGGCGGAGTTCCTTCCCAGAGGCCAGGAGAGGTGGAGCACGAACCCAAGGCTCGGGTGAGGTGAAAAACAAACCCAAAGGTTGAGCGAGGCAAAGCCCATGGCCTTGGTGTCAGGTGAGATGGAGGCCGCCCCCAGAGGTCAGGCAAGGCAGACCTCGTGGCCTTGGTGTCAGGCGAGGCGGAGCCACCCTTAGGGGTCAGGCGAGGCGGAGCCCACGGCCTCGGTGTCAGGCGAGACAGAGCCACCCTCAGGGGTCAGGCGAGGTGGAGCCTGTGGCCTCAGTGTCGAG